CCTTCACACTAAAATCAGGAACAAGAAAAGGATGTCCACTATCACCACTCCTGTTCAATATAGTTTTGGAAACATTAGCCACAGCAATCAGACAAGAGAAAAAAATAAAAGAAATGAAGATAGGAAATGAAGAAGTCAAATTGTCATTATTTGAAGATGACATGATACTCTATATAGACGACCCCAAGAACTCCACCAAAAGTCTTCTAGACTTCATAATCAAATTCAGTAAAGTAGCTGGTTAAAGGGTCAACACACAAAAAATCAATAGCTTTCCTCTATAGAAACAACAGACTCACTGAGAAATAGGGCAAACAATTCCTTTCACAATAGCATCCAAAAAACTAAAAGACCTAGGAATCAACCTAACAAAAGAAATCAAAGACCTCTTCTCTGAAAACTATAGCACTCTGAAAAAAAAAGAGATTGAAGACGATATCAGAATATGGGAAGACATCTTGTGCTCCTAGGTAGGAAGGATCAACATAGCGAAAATGGCCATACTTCCAAAACTCCTATATAGATTCAATGCGATCCCAAATGAAGTTCCAGCAGCATACTTCACAGACCTTGAGAAAAAAATCCAAAAATTCATTTGAAACAAGAAGAGACCCAGTATAGCAAAAGCAATTCTAGGCAACAGAGACATGCCAGGGGGTGTCACAACCCCCAACTTGAAACTATACTACAGGGCCCGGGATTTAGCTCAGTGGTTTCGCCGCCTGCTGTGCAAGTGCAAGGACCCGAGTTCGATCCCCAGCACCCCAAAAAAACAAAAAACAAAAAAACCCAAGAAACTATACTACAAAGCTACTGTGATAAAAACAGCATGCTACTGGCAAAGAAACAGACCTGAGGACCAATGGAACAGATTAGAAGATGCAGAAACAACTCCAGACACACTCAACCACCGCATCTTGGACAAAGGAGGCAAACACCGTCACTGGAGGAAAGATAGCCTCTTTAATAAATGGTGCTGGAAAAATTGGGTTTCGACTTGCCAAAGATTAAAACTAGACCTATATATCTCTCACCATGCACTAAATTAAAATCGAAATGGATTAAAGATCTAAATATTAAAATAGAAACGCTGAACCGGCTGGAACAGAGGTTAGGTAGAACTCTTGAAGGCACTGGTATCGGAAAAGATTTTATGAACAAAACCTCAGCTGCTCATGAACTAGCACAAACTATCAACAAGTGGGATCTCTTCTTATTAAAAAGCTTCTGCACAGCAAGAGAAACCACCAGCAGTGTGAAGAGACAACCCACGATGTGGGAAAAAATTTTCACCTTCTGTTCCTCAGACAAAGGTCTACTATCTCGAATCTATAAAGAACTTAAAAAAATCAGACCTCCCAAATTTAAAGACCTAATCCAAAAATAGGTATCTGAAATGGACAGACATTTCTCAAAGAAGTGGAAATATCAAATAAACAGATGAAAAAAATGTTCAACATCACTGGTCATTCGAGAGATGCAAATGAAAACAATGCTGAGATTCCACCTCACTCCAGAAAGAATGGCTGCTATCATGAAATCAACCAATAACAAATGTTAGCAGGGCTGTGGGGAAAGAGGAACCCTGCTCCACTGCTGGTGGGAGTGTAGACTGGTGCAACCACCGTGGAAATCAGTATG